TATGGAGTGGAAGAATGATTTTGAATTTTTTTTTTTTTTTTTTTTTTTGGTACCAGGGGTTGAACTCAGGTCCCTGCGCTTGCAAGGCAGGCCGCCGAACCACTGAGCTAAATCCCCGGCAAGTTGGAAATTTTTATTTCCTTCACGTTCAGATTGTTTTTACTATTCTTGTATTAATTAATTTTATAGTTGGCAATATTATCTTTATGACTTCTACTTTTTAAAAATAAACATTCTTTATGTATTCTGTCTTTTAGGGTATTGAGTTATATACACACCTACAAACACAAAAGGCCGAACCACTGAGCTAAATCCCCGGCAAGTTGGAAATTTTTATTTCCTTCACGTTCAGATTGTTTTTACTATTCTTGTATTAATTAATTTTATAGTTGGCAATATTATCTTTATGACTTCTACTTTTTAAAAATAAACATTCTTTATGTATTCTGTCTTTTAGGGTATTGAGTTATATACACACCTACAAACACAAAAGTTAGGTTTGTTACTCCTGTATTGTAAATTATTTTTTATAATAGAGTTATGACATTCTGGTAAAAATTTATTATAGTTTCCTACTATGAGTGTACATAATATTTTATAATATTATCTTTAGTTTTCCTTAATATTAGCTTTATATATTTCATTAATATTATTCAGTAGATAAAATTTACCTATTAACATTATCTTGTTGGTGTAATATGATTTTTATTAGTACAGAATATCCTTCTTATCTCATTAAATTATTTTTGCCTTCAATTTTACTTATTTTTTATATTAACATTGCACTATTGCTTTCTTTTTGTTAGCATTTATGGCACCTGATATATCATTGCACGGTCCTTTATTTTCCATTGTCCCATGTCATTTTATTTTAGGAACATATTTTAGAAGTAGAATCTAGCTGGATTTTGCTCTTTTGTGTATTTTGGGACTTTCTGTCTTTAGTGTGAGAATTTAATTCACATTTTAATGTGATAACTAATATGTTTGTTCTCATTTCACTAGCACAGAATTTTCACTGGCAAAAACACATTCCAGTTGGTAATGTGGACTTCAGAGACTGATAGAGCTGGTTTGAGGCCTTCCTCTGTCACTAGCTTTATGAATTTGAACCATGAGCCACCTTCCTTCTTTGTAAAATTGTCCTATTAATAGTACCTATCTGAACAGTACTATTGCCTATACTTCAAAATAATTTGAGAGCACTAGCTCAGTGCTTGGCCCAGAGAAAATGTATACTAAATATTGCAGTCATTATTGCTATTGTTACTTTTGTTTTTGTTGTGTGACCACATATCAAATATCAAAACTAACTAAAATTAATGTCTACATGCTGTAGTTTCCCCCCTTTTTCTACGGATTTATTAGTGGTTCCTCTAGGTATTACGTTATGCATGAAAATAAATTATACATTTTCTAGAATATATTTCTCTCTTCATGTTCCCACTGTTGTCTGGGTTCTGCTTTTGAGCTTCTTCCCACAATATTGTCCCTATTTCTATCAATGGCAGCATCATTTACCTAGTGATATTGATATTGTTTAATTGTTCCTCAAAATGCATATGTTGACACTTAGTTGTCAGTATAGCAGTGCTATGAGGTAGTGCCTTCAGAAGGTGATTAAGTCATGAGGACAGAGCCCTAATGGATGCGTTTGGGATCCTTAGGGAAGGACTTGAGGAAGTAAGTTTGCCTTTTTTGTCAATTCTGCCATGTGAGGATACACAGTCATCACCTTTGGAGGATGCAGGAACAAAGAACTTCCTGGAAGCAGAGAGACTGGGCTTTCCACAGACACCAAACTCTGTGGCACCTTGCCTCCAGATCTGCAATAAATTTCTATTGTTTACGAATTGCCCAGTTTATGGTATTTGTTATAGCAACACAAATGGACCGAGAAACCTTGTCTTTAACTTCTGGGGTTGTCTCGATTCATCTCTTATATCTCGTTAGCAAGCACCTGTCTTACAGATATTGTTTAAAATGACTCTTGTAGCCTTTTCACTCTTACTATCACCAATACAGTGTATCTTCTCTTTGCTCTTAAGTGGATTACTTTCCTTGACTTCAGTCTTTCCTCATGACAGTGTGTCCTGTCATCAACCCATATTCCCTAAACATCACTGATGGTTTCAGACTTCTGAGGAAATGTTTTAAATATCTCTGCTTATTTTCAAGGTCTTCATAATCTAACCTTACCTTATTTTTCCAATTTTATTTATAATGATATTTCAATAAACTAAGCACACTCTTTTCACTAGCCTCACAAGTCAAGCTCATTCCTGTCTAGGCCTTACTCACGGTATTATTCCTGTCCCTAGACCTTACTCACGGTATTTCCACCCTTATTTAAAGTATCCTTCCCTGTTCCCCCTTCCCATCTGAATATTAACAATTCCAGAAAGCCTGTGCAAGTCCTACCTAGAGAAAGATTATCTCTGACAACCTGATAATCTTCACTGTAATCTTGTGGTATAGTATTTCTTTATATCATACTTTGGATTATTTTGTGTTATTCTTATGTATTAATTCTGTCTCTCCAATTAGACTGTTAACTTTCTAAAGAAAATTTGAATAGCATAGTAATTTAAATAGGTATCTGTTAATTTTTCCAAGAAAAGAAGGAAGATAAAAAGACTACCCTGATTCCTTAAGGCCTGTGTTTTTGAAGTGCTTTTGAGATGTGACCCAAAACCCTAACAGTCTGTCTCTATTTTGAATGATTTAATGAAAAAGAACTCCACATACTTTGGCAGTACAAGCAGACCTTTGGAAACAACAGCAGAGACACAGAAAGAAAAGTGGGGACTTCAGTATTGGCTCTAGTCCTCCAGAAACTAGGAGAACAATAAGACCTTTCACCCAGTTTCAAGTAAGCGATGCCAGGAAGTCCAGCCCCAAACAAAACAAAACAAAACCAAAAAACAGCAAAGGCCCTTTTCTCCTTTTCCCTGATGGATTTTATCACTTTACTTCGACCAACGTTGGAAGGAGAAGCTGGAGAATTTATCTATAAAATCTTGAGTGAAATAGATGTAGCATGTAGCATTGTTGTCTTTACAAATAACCGTGAGTGATTTCTGTAAATTGACTTAGAGCCTAAAGTAGCCCCTAACCAAGTTATTCTCTGCTACAATTGTTGAATTATGGTTCTCAAACTATTCGAAACATTATTGTGTGTCTGCTTATTTCTTTCACATTGTCTTTCTTTGCCTTCTAAAACATGAGATCCATGACAGCAGAGACCTCATCTTCCTCATTTGCTCCATATGTCTCCAGTGCTTAGAAAAATGCCCGGCACAAGAGAGGAGCTCAAAACATACTGCTGAAAGGAGAAATCATGAGAAGTGGCTCTCCAGTAACTGTTGGATGTTGAAGGATTAAATGTATTTTTCACTCATATTGCCCTTACCAAGCATGGTGTGTGAGATGGGGAAGGTGATGGTGGGCTGGCCTGTCATCCTCCAGCGGCTACAGAGGTAAGAGAGGTCTGTTCTAAGCATTTCTACTATCATCTTATTGTCCAGAGCCAGGTAGAACTGTTGCTGATCTATAAACTGGGAAAGACAAAAAAAAAAAAAAAAAAAAAAAAAAAAAAAAAAGATTCAGGACAATTTGTTCTCACAATTAGCAAATAATGTTTAAAAAATACTCACATGTTCACAAGGGCATACAAAATGTCACAGAGGCAATAATGCTCCCAAATTTAATGCTCAATACTTCCTAAAAAGTATGTTGTGGTCAAACAATACACGTAAGAATAGTCCCTGACATTTTTGAATTATGATAGAGTTTATAAAATATTTTCAGCACATAATTTTATTTAATCCTATAAACCACCTGGTGAAGGAAAAATAAGGCTAAGAGACAGACAGTACGTGGAATGGCAAAGTCATGACTATCAAATGGCAAAGTCAGAAATATAGTCTAGGATCCATTACGCTTTTGTGTATAGCTACTTCAGCTCTACTATTTCAGACATAAGATGACCAATTAGAAATATAAGCTTTCTTTCTGGAAGATAGTTTCTCCTTCCCCCACACACATATAATCAGGCTTGTTATTGTAATGTAGCTGACAAACATCAGGCTAACAAGATATATAATCACAGCTCAACAATACTGACATTTTATTCAGAAGAAATATTTAAGATTTTTATGCACAGAAAAAGGCCCCTCTCCAAAGAAAATGTCTAATTTAGTAGCTGAATAAAAAAGGCTGTATTTTACTTAACAAAGGACAGATGCTGTCAGTTTGTCTTTGAAAAGTTAGGGAAACTTTGTAAGTACTCTAACACTTATAGAATCCCTAGTCCCAGTTTCTGCAATATCCAGAGTTAGGCTTGGCAGCCACAGTCACATGACAACTCTGCTACAGTTCAATTCAGTTCAGCTGAAAAAATATTTACTGAGAAACTTAAATTGTGCAAGCCCTCCACCCATGAAACTCTCTGACACTTATCCAAGTTCCAGTAAATGCTTTGTACCTGCAGTGTTTCTTTCTGATTTTCATTCATCTCAATGCATGTTTTAGTCTATTTCACTCACCTGTGGGGTGAAAGTAAAGATAGTTTTCCGAATGTCATAGAGTTTTGAAGTTCCAAGCACTCCCATGAGTCTGTACGGCCGTCCACTGAGTTTCATTCTACTATTGCATCCTAGGACAGAATTGATAAATGGTCAAGATATTTGTAGTACAAAAAAAAATCAAAGTAGCAAACATGTTTATTCATATACACATTAAATCATCATCTCTTACAATGAGAAAATAGTTAACTTATCCATGCACTTTTTTGGTATAACAGGATAATATTATGCCTATTGCCCTCAAAGTCCCCTCCTAAAATATATATTGAATATGCTTTCATGTCAAGACTCACAAGACTCCTACTGCTTTTAAGGTTTTGCTAAAATGTTTTTCTTGAGTATTTTATTTTTCCTCTGCTTTATCCTGAGTGTTATTTTATCAAATATGCTGCATTTGTAGATTTGCTTCATGCTTAGGGGGGCCGAGCCATGAATGCCTTGTCATATATCAGGGTCAACTCAGTAAAACACACATTTTACCTGAGACTGATATCACAACTAGGATTACTCTCTGCTCCTTCTTTTTTGTTTATTTTCATCAGAGTGAAATATACATAAAATAAAACCATTTTGATAATTTTAAGTGTTTCGTTCAGTGGATTTAAATGCATTTTAGTATATTCACATCATTGCATAAACATCGCCACCATCTATCTTCAGATTGATCCTTCCCATCTCAGCCTTTAACAAGCACCATTCTCCTTTGAGTCTCTGAATTTGACTACTCTAGGCACCTCATGTAATTAAAATCATGTAACATTTGTTCTTCTGCAAGTGGCTTATTTCACTTAGTATAATGTCTTCAAGGTACCCTTGTGTTATAGCATATGTCAGAATCTCCTTCCTTGAGGATGAATAATGTCCCATCCTATGTATATACTACATTTTGTTTTTCCATCCACCTGTATATTTGTATATTTGTATATTCCATCCACTGGATATTTGGGTTATTCCTATCTTTTGGCTATTGTGAATAACGCTATGCATTAGTACAGAAAATAGCAGTTGAAGTTACTGCTGTCAATTCTTTTGGGTATATTCCTGGAAGTAGAGTTGCTGACTCATATAATATACTTGTTATTTTGTTTTTAAAATAATAGCAATCACCATAGGTATGATGTGATATTTTATTGTGGTTTTGATTTACATTTCCTAAATGATTAGTGATATTGAGCATTTTTCATCTCCTCATTGGCCATTTGCATATCTGCTTTGAAGAAATGTCTATTCAAGTTCCTTGCCCATTTTTAAAAATCTGGTTGCATTTTTGTTGTTTTTGACTTGTAGTTCTTTGTATTTTCTGGATATTATTATCAAATATAGGATTTATATTTTCTCTTATTCTTTGGATTGCCTTTTCACTTTGTTGTTAGTTTCCTTTGAGGTACAAAAGTTTAGTTTAGATGAAGTTCAATTTCTCTGTTTTCCTTTGTTGCCTATGCTTTGGGTATCATAACTATCCAGGAAATTATTGCCAAATCTAATGTTAAGAAGATTTTCCATTTTGTTCTAAGAATTTTATAGTTTTACATCTTACATTTGGTCTTTAATAGATTTCACAGTTTGTACATGGTGCTAGCTAAGGGTTCAATTTCATGTGGGTATCATTTTCCTAGCACTGCTTATTAAAAATACTGTCCTTTACCCTTGGAATGGTGCTGGCACTCTTCATTTGACCATACATGCAAGGGTTTGTTCCTAGTCCATTGTTCTGTATATCTCTCTTCATGCTAGTATCACACTGTTTTTATGACTGTAGCCTTGTAGTATGTTTTGAAATTAGAAAGTGTGACTCCTTCAATTTTGTTTTTTTCAAAATTGTCTCGGCCATTTGGGGATCACTCAATTTCTGTATTAATTTTAGAATTAATTTTTAGTTTTTGTAAGAAACTGAATTGACATGTTATAAGGAATTATACTGAATCCATTGAGAGGTTTGGTTAGCACTGATATCTTAATAACATTATGTCTTTCAACCTATAAATATGACATGTTTTCCATTTATTTGTGTATTCTTTTAACTTATTTCTTTAATGTTTTGTCATTTTGAGTGTACAAGTCTTTTCCTCCCTGGTCAAGTTGATTCTTAAGTATTTTATTCTTTTTTATATTATTGTAAATGGAAATACCTTTTCAATTTCCTTTTTAGATTTAGTGTTAATGCATAGAAATGCAACTCATTTGTGTGTGAACAAAAGAATGTAAGCAAACAATTTGCTGAACAGATAATAACTAATTTATGAAAACATGTTTATCCACTATATGTTTTAAAAATTTGAAGAAATTATGTTAATACAAGTCTGAAATCGAGGCATAGGAAGCTATTTAACAAAATATGAGGTTCATCACATATTTTAGGTTGCAAAAAAGAGATGCAAAGTCTACTCTTCATGACACAATTTTCCTAAAAACAAATGTGCTTTGTCTTATAAAAACTTATTAGAAGCAAATACTCTAAAATAAAAATGGTGACTTCCTCAAAATGGTGGAATTATACGTGATTTTTATCTTTTTTCCTTTGTGCTTTTCTCTGTTTTTCAGTTCTGTGAAGTCAGTATGTATGGATCAATTGGCAACCAGATAACATACTGTTATGATTTAGATCTAGGATGTCCCCTAAAAGCCTCATGTGTTCAGAGGTGGGGCTTCAGGAAGGTGATTAGATCATGGAGTGTTATAATCATTCCACTGATGAGTTCATAGCTGAACATGCTGTTAGGAGTTGAGCTGGGTAGCAGGAGGTGAGTCACTGGGGGCTTGACTTGGAAGGCTCCCAGGCTCCCTCTTCGGCTCCTCCCTTCTCTTTCTGTTTCCTGATGAGAAACTAGTTCCTTATATAAATTATAAAAAACTTAAAAACAAACACCTTGTCTATTATTCTATATAAAATTATCATTCATTTGAAGTAGAAATATAGATTCCATGGAAGGGAGAGAGCATGTTAGTTAAATACACACTTGGAATAAAGATATAATATTATCTGAAAAAGTCATAGTCTATGTACCAAAAGATTCATAAAACACACCTAAAATTATCAATTCTGCTAAAAAAGACAGGATTAGAAACTTGGTTTCTACAGACTCTAAATTCCTTTTCAGACCCAGTTTAATAAAGCAATCCAAGATAAAGAAGGAAAAAAAATATAGAAGGAAACCAGCCCATATCACGTACTGCTATGATTCTAGCAGGTTGGCCAATCTTCTTACCTAGACTAGAATAAATATGGCTGAGAATACGAGCTGGTTGTACTCTGATGGGGTACACCTCGTCAATAGTCTCCACATCAATTCCGTTATCCTTCAAAATGGCCTTGATTTCATCTGTTTCAGCCAGAATGGAAACTATAGGAAAGAAAGAGAATGAGGTCAACACAAGCTTTTGTTTCAGTAGGAATCTAAAAATTTCTCAAAGAACATAATTTGTTTTGGAGGAAAACAAAAGGAGGGAGGAAATTAACAGTTATTGAGGAAATTTGAGGAAACAGATTTTATGCAAAGTACTTAATAATGGTATCTAAATGAAAAAGAACAAAGATAAATAGATTATGCTTTTTGACTAAGTACTTATGTGCTCCTAGAGAAAGGCACACTCTCTTTTTATATCTGAGGTTCTGTGTTTAAATGGGAAAAAACATGAGAGCTTAAAAAACAGCCTTGGTAAAAGTTGATCCCACAGGATTTTTTATATAAGTACACATAAGGTCAGGGCCAGGAATGTGAGAGTAATAAAGAATATTCTAATTAGACAAGAATTGTCTTATGGCTGGAGAAAGGCAGAAATTGGAGAGGGGGGATTAGAAGTGATAGAGATGACATTTATCTAGATCCAGAGCTTGCAAAACCTGGAAAGTTCCCTTTTCTTCCACTTAAATTCATGTCACAAGGGAAGAAGCAAGGCCAGCTCCCTGACCCTTATTTTTACTTTCCCTCTATGAGATGGGTAAGTGGCTGGAAACAATAACTCCAAGTGATGTTTCAGCTAGTTTGGCACTAAGCACCAAGGATAAACATGCCCTCTCCTCCTACTCCTCTAGTGTTGGTACATGTGCTGCAGAGGACAATGTGGTTGGTAATAGTAGTAGAGGGGACTAAAGGAGAGTCACATGAAAAATATGGGGCCACAGGAGTACATTCAACCCAACCAGTTGTTTATTTTATATTTTATAAAACATTTAGAGAATTATTTATTGCTTTTTATGTGCTAAGTGCTTCCAGATGCTAGGGATATATAGACAGACATGATAAATTCTGCTGGAGGATCAAACAGGAATTAAACCTGATAAAAGTGATGGTAAAAGGAAGGGAGAAATTATTCCAGACTAAAGGAATTGCATGGAAAAGGTGCAAGAGGACAAAGAATCAGGCAGGTGTAAGAATTATAGAAAGTTCTTTATAAAGAAAAAAGGACTACAAAGGAGTAATGAGAAATGAAGCAGAAGGCCGGGGATAGGATTATAAAGAGCCTTGTAAGTCATAGTAAGGAAGCGGGTGATCGGAAGCCTCTACAGACTTGTAATCAGAGGAACAGCATACTCATGTTACACCTTAAACAATATATATTTAGGTTTATAATGAAAGAATAAGGTGTTATTTCCATACTGGGGCTATAAAGGTCAAAAAGAAAAGAAGGAGGAAAAGGAAGAACAGGAGGAGGAGGAGGAAGAGAAGAAGAAACTGATAGACAATAGTCTAGACTAAAGACAGAGGAACCAAAGAAAAAGGTCTTGCTGTAATGCATGGGGAGATGTTGACCACTTACAACTAGGGTCATGCTATCGATACTGTAGGAAATGGATGAATTTCAGAATTATTTAGGAAGAGAGAGAGAGAGAGAGAGAGAGAGAGAGAGAGAGAGAGAGAGAGAGAGATCTTTGGGGGGAGGATTCCCTGGTGTTTATTTGTGTAACTGGGAGGATGATGGTCATTTAATGAAATAGGCAGAGAGGAGGAGGCACAGGCATGAGGGATTCAGTACTAGGTTGCTGATTGATGTTAGTGATGTTGAGTCTACGGTGCATGTGACACATGCAAGCGGGGCTATGTCAAAGGAAGCAGCTATAGATTTAGGAGCCATGATCATACAAAGAGATGAGTTGGACCAAGGAGAATATATAGAGAAGAGGAGAAGTGACCAAGAATATAGCCACAAGACATTCCAACATAAAAGGAATGGGAAGATAAAGAAAAGCTTGGGGTTGGGTGGGAATTGCTGTCTTTATGGGGTATATTTTCTCTGTGATACTGGAGATGAAGTCATATTCTGAAAGTGAAGGAGAAAGTCAGGAGGTGGGAAAAGGGAAAAGGTTTAGAATAGAAGGAGGGTTAGAAACATATACAGATGTTCAGAATAAGATAAGTAGTGGCCTAAGGAAAGAACTCTCAGGAACACAAATACTTTTAAAAATAGTTTTATTAGTACATGTTTGCAATACAAAATAAATATATTTATGTGAGGTGTTGGTACATATACATATTGCACTTTAGTCTTTTTTTACTTCCTTTCCCCATCCCATCCCTCCCTTCTCCCTCCATTCCTAGATCCCCTTCCTATCTGCAGAAATTCTATCTCCCTGTTCCCTATTATCTATCTTTTATTTTGCTCTTTAAATTGTTTATGCTTTGGGTTTCTTATGTAACAGAAAACAAGCAATATTTAACCTTCTGTGGCTTACACTTAGCATTATGGTTTCAAGGTCTCATTTTCCTACAAATGACTTAAATGTATTCCTCTTTTTGGCTGAATAATACTACATATACGGCATATTTTTTTGTCCATTCATCTGTTGATACACGTATAGGTTGTAACCAAGATTTAGTTATTATAAATTATGCTGCTATAAACATGGGTGTGTATGCATCACTGTAGTATGATGTCTTTACTGTTTGGGGAATATACCCAGAATGATCAAAGCTAGGTCAAAAGGAATCTCTATTTTTAGCTTTTTGAGGAATCCCCATACTGATTTCCATAGTGTGCTAGTTTACATTCCTACTGACAATACAGAAAGGCTTCTTCTCTCCCCCAATCTCACTAGCATTTTGCGGGGGTGGTTCATGATAATAGCCATTCTTACTGGAGTATGATGAAAACTCGGTGTTGTTTCATTTGTGTTTCTCTGATGGCCAAATGTGCTGAATATTTTTTCATGTACTAATTGGCCACTTGAATTTCTTGTGAGAAGTATCTATTCACTTTAATTGCCCATTTTTATTGAGTCTTTTATTTGAAGGTATCTAACTTTTTTCTGAGTTCTTTAGGTATTCTAGATATTAGTCTTCTGCTCAAAGAGTAGTAAATATTTTTTCCCATTTTGTAGGTTGTCTCTTCACCATTGGTTGTTTCCACTGCTCTGCCAAAACTTCCTAATCTGATATAACCCCATTTGTCCATTCTTGGTATTATTTCCTTTGCAGTACAAGTTCTATTCAGAAAATCCTTGCCTATGCCTATATTTTCAAGGATTTTTCCTATTTTATCTTCCAGCAGATTACTTCTGTTTTAATAATTAGATCTTTGATTTTATTTTGGTGAGTTTAGATTCATCCTTCTGACTGTGGATAACCAGTTTTCCCAGCATCATTTGTTAAATTGGCTGAATTTCTCCAGTGTATGTTTTTGGCTCCTTTTGTCAAAGCTGAGATGACTAAATGTGCCTAGAATTGTTTCTGCATCCTTTATTCTGTTCCATTGATCTGCATGTTTATTTTTGTGGCAGTGCCATGCTGTTTTTTTCTATTATTATTACTGTAGCATTGTAATGTAATTTGTAACCCAAGATTGTGGTGATTCCTGCTTTGCTCATGTTGCCCAGGATTGCTTTTGCTATTCTGGGTATCTCCTGTTTCCATATACATTTTAGGATTGTTTTTTCTCCTTCTTTGAAGAATGCTATCAGTATCCTATTGGGATTGCATTAATTCAATATATTAGTTTTGATAATATGCCCATTTTGACAATATTGACTCTACTTATACAGAAATGAGGGAAGTCTTTCTCTTTTCTGATGTCCTTGTTTTTGTTATAGAGGCCTTTTGCTTCCTTGGTTAGGTTAATTCCTAAGTATTTCATTTCTGGAATGGTATTGTTAATTTCTTTCTTGGTCAGTTCATTGTTGGTGTACAGGAATGCTATTGATTTTGTATATTGATTTTGTATCCTGCTATTTTGCTGAATTTAGGGTCTTTTGTGTCTTCTATGTAAAGGATCATGTCATCTGTGAATAAGGAGAGTTGGACTTCTTCCTTTCCTATACATTTCCATTTTCTTTCATTTGCCTGATTTCTCTGGTTAAGGTTTTGAGTACTAGGTTGAACAAAGGTGGGGAGTGGACACCCTTACCTTGTTCCTGATTCTAGAGGAAAATCTTTCAGTTTTTCCCCATTTTGTATGATGGATGCAGTGACTTTTTCATAAATGGCTTTTCTCAGTTTAAAATAAGGTCTTCTATATCTATTTTTGTTAGGGTTTAAATCATGCATGGATGTTGAAGTATGTCAAAAGCTTTTTCTGTATTTATTGAGATGATCATATGATTTTTGAATTTGCTTCTATTTATGTGATATATAACATTTATTAATTTATATATGTTGAACTACCCTTATATGCCTGGGATGAATCCAACTTGGTTATGATGAATGATCTTTTTAATGATTTATTGCTTTCGGTTTGCCATTATCTGGTTGAGGATTTTTGCATTCATTAATGAGATTGGTCCATAGCTTTCTTTCTTTTTTCTTCTTTCTTTCTTTCATTCATTATGTCTTCGTGTATTTTTGATGTGGGGGTAATGCTAGCTTCCAGGAATGATTCGGACAGTACTCCTTCCTTTGTGATTTTGTTGGAGAGTTTAAGGAATATTGGTATTAAGTCTTCTCTGGAATTCTCATAGAATTCTGCAGTAATCCATAGGGGTCTTGGGCTTTATTGTTGCTGTTGGTGGTGGTTGTGGTAGAGTTTGTATTACTGTCTCTATTTTATTGCCTGTTATTGACCTATTCAAAATTTTTATATTTTCTTGGTTCAGTTTTGTTAATTATACGTGTGTAGGAATTTCTCCATTTCTTCTAGGTTCTCCAATTTACTGCAGTACAAATTTTTGAAATTGTATCTTATAATCCTCTGGATTTTGACAGTGTTATTTATTCTCTTTTTAACCTTCCTCTAGAAACTTACTCTTTTCTAGTTATCTTATGTAACTATATAAAGAGGCATAAGTTTGGATGAGAAGGGAAAAAAGTTACATAGGATAACTAGAGGCAGCTACATAAATACACTAAAATAAAAACAGTGGAGGAAAAGTTGAAGATTCCAGAAAAGATTAAGTTTCTAGAGGAAGGTTAAAAAAGATAGGGTCAAGCATCAGAGGAGGGACTTGGTCTTGAATAAGAGAATAAATAACTTTCTCTGTGACTAGAAAAAAATGAGGCTAGAATGGATAGGATTGTTGGGGTGGGGAGGACTTGGTAACTGACAAAGAAACTTCTCTGAAGTAGTACAAATGGCCAGTATATATGAAAAAAATGCTCAGCATCTCTGGTCAGTGGAGAAATGAAAATTTAAACAACACTAACATTTCAACTTATACCAGAAAGAATAGCAGCCATCAAGAAACCAAATAATAACAAATGCTGCTGTGTCTCTGGTGATAAAGAACCCTCCTACATCACTAGTGGGAGTGTAAGCTAGTACAACCATTATGGAAACCAGTATGGAGATTTGTCAAAGACCTAAACATAGAAATTCCATTTGACCCAGCTATTTCCCTTCTATGTACCTTCTCCAAAGAGCTAAAGACATCATATTGCAGTGATATGGGCATATTCATGTCTATAGCAGCACAACTCATGGTAGTTAAATCCCAGAAGCAGCCTGTAAGTTCAACAAATGAATAGATAAAGAAAATGTGATATCCATATACAGTGGAATACTATTTGGCTATAAAGAAGGATTAAATTTAAGACACTTGTGGGAAAGTGGATACACCCGGAAAATATAATGTTAAGTGAAATGAATCAGACATGCAAGCTTAAATACCACATGGTAACTCTCATTTGAGTAAGGCAAAGTATGAATAAAGAGCAAAACAAAGGATTGGTAGAAGAAAACATTGAGAAAGATGTTTTGCAAAAAAAAGGGGGGTCCAAGAGACTGAGAGCAAGGAGAGGGGAGAAGAAAGGGAAATAAAAAAATTTAAGATGTGTCATGTACATGTACCAAATAGTCGCATTAAGTGTAAACATTATGTCATAAATAAGAACTCATAAAAATAACAATAATGAAAATGGGGAAAGGGAAGTTAGAGATGGAGTGAGGTAAGTGGGGAGGGGAAAAAGGGGAATAAAAAAGATTCAGGATGCGTTATCTACCTGCACTTACTCCCTAAGATGAATGTAACTTCACGTACTGCAAACATGTGCAAATAAAAAAAATTTTTAAAGGAAAATGCTGCCTAAAGAAAAAAACAAGGACCAACAGGAGGCACTTTGGACCTAGCTGAGCAGGAGACCATAAATTTCCAGTCTTGACACTCTACTTATTTGTGTGATTTTCTTTTCCAGTAGCATTTAGCAGTCTAGGTAAGGGATCAGAAAATACAACTTTAATATTGATCAAGGGCTATACTTTTTCTGTTGGGTGTTCTAGAAATATGGAGTATTGGTTGCTAAGTGAAACATTTAGATGACCAATCATGAGGTGGAAAAGAGCAGACTAAGAGTAAATAGGGACAAATGTAATGGAAAGAAAATTAAAAGGTGAAGTCATATGTGGCTAGCAGAGTACTGGAATTTCAGATATTTGAGGTAGAATAGTCCTAAAATTTGATAGTTGGCTGGGGTTGCTAATGTAGAAGTGGAGGATATTACACTTGATCTTAGCCAAAAGAAGCAATAGAAGTGGAGGATATTAAGATTTATGGAAATAAGGGAAAAGAAAAAAAATATGAGAAAATGAAAATAAAGTATTTGTAAATAGGGAAACGAGGAGGGGGCAAAGGGAGGGCAGGGGTATGGGAAAAAATGAGAACCAAGACCTGTCATGTAAAGGTACAAGTTCCCAATGATAAATGTAGCTGTACTGTATACCTAAAATATACCAATAAACTCAATGAAAAAAAATAGAAAAGAACTCCATTGACATTTGAACTACAGGCCATGTGTGTTACACTCTGGCAGAACATTTTTCCACATTTGCCCATGTCTTGAGACTTTGTAGGAGACTGAAATTAAGAATGGTGGAAGAAATTTCAAGAGAGCCCAACACTCAGGCTGTGGTATGCGTACAGTTGGCTGCTTTCTGCCAGTTATTTAGTCAGAATAGGGGTTAAAAGGAAGAGTAGAAACATCTTAAAAACTTAAATTTTGACCCAGAATGAATCATGTTTAAACTTGGAGGCCAAAGATGTATAGTTACTAAGGAGATCAGTGTTGTTAAACGAAACCAAATACTTTGTACAGGGACAAGAAGAAAGATGCCTTGAAGGAATCTCAGCAAACAGTAAGATGCCACCCATTGCAGATTCAAAACTGTAAAGTGCTAACCTTTCATTTGAGAACTCCCAGGGACTGCTGCTTGTGAAGGCTCTGTTAGGGAATTGGTTCCCTGGGATTTATTTCACTGTGTTCTGCTATCCAGACAATAAGAGACTACTGTTGCTACAGTGCAAAGCGGCCTGGCCACTGCCCAGGTTGTTCGTATACCTTAGCATCATCCACATGATACTGCTTTTACTGGCATGCAGAATGCAAGAGTTGTAAGGTCAGGGCAGCTTCCACCTAGATATCAAAGGAAGACCTGGGAACCCAGGGAAGGTACTACCCCTGATAGGGCCATTTAATAGCTAAATGAAGCTGTGGAATGAAACCAAAGGTGTAGTAGAGACCCTAGGAAGTTAGAGATACCAGGAACATAACATTTCTATGGAGGAAAGCTGCAGGTCATGAGTGGAGCCAGCCTAAGAGAGAGGTCATGTGGACTGCAATCAGAAAGACCACAGGGATGGGGTCACTCAAGCCCTGTGGAAATCACATTTTACTAGTATGTGCCCCAGATGCCAGATATGAAGCTACAGGACTTAATGTTTTCCCTGCTAGGTTTTGGTTTGCTATGGTCCAATTCTTTTCCATCCCCCTATTCATCCCTTTTGGATTGGGAATTTACCCTCTGACATTGTACCTTGGCATTGTGTAACTCACTTTTTAATTTTTTACAGAGGTTCATAGCTAAGAGTTTACTCAGAGTATCAGGAGAAACTTGGACTTGGACTTCAAAAATGTCAGTACTGTTGAGAGTTTGGGGAAGTTGTATGTGGGATAGCTGTGTTATGTTAGGTGGAATTATGAACTCACTATTACCTTTATTTGGAGATTAAGTATAGTTTAAGGATGTGTATTTGGGTGTAAAGTTGTTAAAGGGTGGATTGTGTTCGTTAATCCCAGTATATCAACTTCATTGGATTAAAAACTGCCTAGTCCAATGTAAAGCACACGCCTTGGGGTGTGTCTAGGTTGGTCAGGGTAGTATAACTTTCAGTAGTCTATACGGTCCTTAACCCATTGTTCTGTGGTGCTCTGCTTCCCAGCTGCCATGAACTAAGCAGCTTTGCTCCACTGTGCTCTTCTGCCATGAGGCTTCTGCCTTAGAGTCTTCTAACCATGGACTGAACCCTCTGAAACCAAGAGCTAGATTAAACCTTTTCTCCTTTAAATTGTACGTGTCTGAGAGGTATTGTGTCTCAGTGATGGGAAAGCTTGCTAATATGGCATACTTTCCAAAGAGGTAATGGTCAGAAGCAAATTTATTATGAGGGCGATAGTTCTAGCAAATGAATACGTGAGTACATGTAAATACAAAAGAAAACAGTGAGACTAACTGTAAAATCAAAAGGAGGACATGAAAAGAAAGTACATGAAAACTGGTTTGAGAAAGCAGAGATAAATGGGAGCTACAACATTATAACAGTTAAAAGAAAAGAGATTGTAGAAAGAAAGAATGATAAGTACAGTGCAGACTGGTGCAACCACTATGGAAAACAGTATGGAAATACTTCAAAGAGCTGGGACTAGAGGTTCCATTTGACCCAGCCATCCCTCTGCTGGGTATCTTTCCAAAAGAACTAAAAGAATCATATCACAGTGATGTATGCACACCTATGTTTATAGCGGCACAGTTTGTAATAGCTAAAATTTGGAAATAGCCCATTTGCCCATCAGTTGGAGATAGGATAAAGAAGATGTGGTTTTTCTTATAAAATGGAATACTACTCAGCCATAAAGAATGAGAAATTAGAGTGATTAATAGGAAAATGGATACATATTGAGGATATACTCCAAAGTGAATAAAATAAGTCACACATGTAAATACCAAATAGTTTCTCTGGTGTGAATAAAATATAATAGTACACAAGATCCTAATGGGATAATTAACAATGTGAAATAGGAAGAAAGGGGCTAAAGGTGTAGAGGAAGTGGAAAGGGTAGGGGAAAGGAAATAAGGGAAAAGAAAAAAATATGAGAAAATGGAAACAAAGCATTTGTAAATAGGAAAGGGAGGAGTAGGTGAAGGTAGGGCAGGGGTAAGGGGAAAAAATGAGAACCAAGACCTGTCATGTAAAGGTACAAGTTCCAATGATGAATGTAACTGTACTGTATACCTAACATGTACCAATAAACTCAACAAGGAAAAAAAAACATGATAAGTAATATTTTGGAGTCCTATGACATTGCACATTATTCATTTGCTTATGAGTAACAGTGATTTTTAAAATCAAACCGAACTAAGTTATATACTTAACAAAACAAAAAATGAAGAATAAATGTATAATTTACTGGCTCCAAGATTTCTGCCGCAGATCTTTAGTATAAATTTTCTGCTGCTATAAATAAGAATACATACCTTGAACCACGACATCTGGCTTAGGTACAGTAGAAAACCTACGATTCAGGGGATCAATTTCTCCAGGAGCTAAAAATCCCTAAAGACCCCCCCGCAAAAAAAGAACAGATTATTAAGTCTCAAACAAACAGCTAATGTTTTAGGGGAAGCACCAGAAAGGAAACAAAAAACTTCCCTGTAGGAAAATATTTGAGCTCCCAGAATTCACATCCAAATTAATTTAATTTGAAGTTCATGGGCTGGGATTTAGCTCAGTGGTTCTGCCACCTGCCTTGCAAGTGCAAGGACCTCAGTTCAATACCTGGTACCAAACCCAAAAAAAAAGGCTGAAGTTTATTTCTAGTGGCTACAATATCCTTTTTGGAAGTCGGTGGGACCCAAGTTATAAATAACCTGCTTTTTATTACTCCTCTGTATTCCGTGGGTATACATATGACACATATTAAAATGATCAGACCACAGTGCCTATTATCAATAATGTATTAGTTTTAATCTTTTCTCATTTGTTCATGTGTTTCTTGGGCTTTTGGTTCAGAAGAAATCTTCTGATGTGAGTTTCTGTACATTGTAAAATGAGATGAACTTAACCATTTTGTCCTTAAGAATACCACTCATCTCCTTTTCTCATTACATTTAGTTTATTCTAATTGAGTGACAAATTTACCAGGTAAGGATTACTTTATACAATCATTCTGGCTATACTTGCTAGATTCATGTTCATGTCAACTAAAGATAAACAGCCATGGATACAGGAGAAAACAAAGCAACAAACAAAAACAGTCCCTGGAATTAAATGGTCATTTATAAACAGGTCGAAGTGTCTGTCTCAAAGAGGACAGCTAAGCCCCAAACTAGATCCCTTAGGAACCTGGGTTATAGCATATCAAAGTTACCTCTAGTGGGGAAACACATTTGCCAGTAAACCTGGATAATTTGAAAAACAGAACCCTTTTGTATATAGGATCAAAATGGCACAAAGAAGCTGGATGGAAAGTCAGAAGGCCCTCATTAAAATTTGAGAGAGCCTCTTACTAAAAAGCAAACAAACAAATTCCAAACAACCCAACAAAAGACTAGTATTCTTAAACATTTTTCACTGTTCTTAAAATGGGTAGTTAATTCAATTAAAGAATTTAACATTATGTTGCTTGAGAAGGTTAGCACTTAATCCATTGTCAGTAATTACTAAGCACAATTGCACTCACTAATTACCAGGGAAGACACCAAGGGGAGTTTTGGAAGGGAAAGATCCAGAGCTTGATTCCTGAGTTGCTCCAAGTGTAATGCCAAAGTAGGGAGCCCTGAGCAGTAGGAGGGACCTGGATGCCAGGGAGCAGGAGATTTTTTTTCTCATTGAGTTTATTGGTACATTTTAGGTATACAGTACAGTTGAATTCATCATTGGGATCTTGTACCTCTACATGACAGGTCTTGGTTCTCATTTTTCCCCTTGTCCCTGCCCTCCCTTCACCCGCTCCTCCCCTGGAGATTTTTGTCAAATACTGGTCACACTCCCCACTCTGAGAATCTCTAGGAAAAAGCTATATTTAAGGAAAAAGGCAAATGACGTTCTTCAGTTTTAATGAGCTACTCACAAATCCGATTATTATGGTGACTAAGGCAGAAAAAGGTGGAATGGCCCTTACCTCTGCTGTCAAACTTCCTAAAATGTATAGAGACTGGCCCCACATATGAGGCAACTTCCCCATGGGGACTCGGTCCACGGTATGAGGATTTTGATACTCTTCATCAACCTGAATAAAAACATGAAGAGGTCAGTTGAGAGGCAGCAGAAGGCTTATGACACTACATAATAAAAGGCTGAATCTACATACTGACTCCTACCCTATATAGTTACACAGGCAATTCACTGATAAGTCAAACACTATATTAACAGTGTAGGGTTAAGGATGTAGCTGTGTGGTAGGGCACTTGCCTTGTGTACTCCAGGCCCAGAGTTCCACCCCCAGACTGCAAAACAAAGCAAATGAAAACCCCATAGTCTAGGGCAGCACTCCTCAGATCCTCAAACTATAATGTATATAAAAATCATCTGAGGATCTCACTCAAATGCAAATTCTGATTCAATAGGTGTGTGGAAGGGTCTGATTTCTGTTTTTGACAACTCTCAGGTGATGCTGCTGATGTCGCTAAGAGCTTATTTGCCCTAACTCCACAAGAATGAAAGATCGTACCTCTCCCATGTTTAATTCTCTTTCATTTTTCAATTTTTCAATTCTCTTTATCTTTCAGATAAACAATGGTATACTCCACTTGATCTTAGCCAAAAGGCCGAGAAGCGATAAACAATGGTATACTCAACTGGCATTTTGGGAAAAATGAAGACAGAACATACTTCATTTTCCAAGCCAGATCTACTCAGCACTCCCAGATTACTGGCCTCAAAAAAGAGAATTCAAAATCCTGAGAACTCACCCAGAATATCATTCTAGTTGTACTATTGATCTCTGTGTCTTTCTTGGCAGTAATATATAGCCTCAACTTTTCTCGGGGGGGTTGATTTTTTGAGAAAGGGTCTCACTATGTTGTTGAGACTGACCTGGAACTCACTCTGTAGCCCAGGGCTGGTCATGATCTCACAGTGATACTCCTGCCTCAGCCTCCCCAGTGCTGGGATTACAGGCATATGCCACCATGACCAGCAACATAGCCTCAACTTTAACTTGTTGCACAATAGTACCATAATTGAGAATGCTTTAAAGGTTTATTTTTAAAGGAATAAAATATTTCTATTGTGTTACACCTAAAGAAAAGCTTCTAGAACATTATTATCAGAAGATTAAAAATTGTTTGACTCAAATGTGGAAGTCCTATTGAAACATGGCTCCTCTTCTGGTCACTGCTAGAGCATTGTCCAACTCACCCTGTCAGGGGGGACACTGTACAACTCTGGCAGAAGTGGGATTCCGTTTTTGCCCTTAATGAGGACTGTTTCAAGAGCCTCTCTATACTCTTGAACCTGCAGAGAAATGAAAGGCAGAAAAAAAAAACTTACATAGAGTTCCTATAGGGACCTAGGAGAGGGGTATATCTAAAGAAGGTGCTACTGCAAAGAAATTCTTTCAATCAAGTAAAAGAGAGAGGGAAGGGGACTACAATTAAATAAATGCTTGCTATAATCAAATATTAGGCTAGGACATCTGCTTGCTTTAATGCTTTTAATTTTAATAACCATCCTAGTAGATATGTGTAGTTAAACCCTTTATAGGACAGTTAAGGTTTGAAAAGGTTCTGAACTTGTGGAAGATTGCAGAACAAGTATATATTTAGTCCTGAGTTTAGCCCATCAACTTGCCTCCAAAGACACATCTGATCCACTATGTATTAAGTATACTCTCCTGACTTTGCAACATATTCACTTTTAAAACCACATTTGACCTGCCAAATTCAGTTTGTAGAATGGTCAGGTTTATCTTCTTTGCTTAACAATTTTCTGAAACTTAGTAACAAACAAAATGTAAAACAAAACAAGGGCTGGAGATGCAGCTCAGTAGTTGAGAGCTTGTCTAACATGCAGAAGGCCCTGGTTTCGATCCCCAGTACCAAAGAAACAAAGCAACAAAACCTATAAATTATGGAGGAAATGAAGTCAGTCCTGCTATAACACTTTTTTTGAAAAACAAATTTTCTCCAGTGCATTTGATAGGCTGAAGAACAGTTTGAACATAACATGAATATCAAGTTTGCTTATGTATTTTATCCTGGGGATACACTCAGCTGAACTGAGCTGTATAAGAATACACAAAACACATAAATGCACACACCTCAGGAGGACAATGAACATATCCACACCTGCTGTTACAACTTTCCATCTGATTTCAGCTGGTTCAGGTAACTCTCCTTTTACCACTGATAACTCACAAGCTGTAGCCCTTTGACAGCCACTCTGGCTGTGCAGCTATATGCGTTTCTCTTTCTCTAATTTTCCCCCTTTACTCTCTCTCAGTCTGCTTTAAAACTTTCCCTCTATGTTCTATGTTCTTTTCCCCTAAATTCTGCCTTTCTTTTTTGTCTCTCTTTTTTTCTCTTCTACTTGTACACAGGCTGGAAGGCATGGGTGCCAGATAGATGAGCTGGTGGGAACAAGGGCACATACTTCTACAGGCAAACTTTTGGTCTTTTCAAGGTAAAAGTACCATAATTATTGTGGTGTTTATGTATTTCTGAACTCTTAACATGGAAAGCTGTGAAACTTTTATTATGTTCCTATCATTTTGCTACTTAGTCCATAAATCCCATTAGCTTTTATTTCTTGAATATGCATAATTTTTAGGAATATATAGTGTCATAGAAGAAATGACTGTACTTTGAACTTACATGTCTTTACCTGTGAAATTCAAAGAATTTTAGGAATATAGTGTTAACATTTATTTCACTTGTATATGAGGTATATTGTGATAATTTTATCCATGTATATTATAAGTAATAATCAAGACAGTGAACATTTATACCCCCTGAAATATTTTTTAAATTTTTGATATCTTTTTTAATGAAGAGAGAAAAATGATTATCACACACAAATTGAAGGAATCAGTGACAATACTTGGGCTACTCAATTGTGAAGATTGAAGCCAAACAAAGCAAAACAAAACAACCCCCCCCAAAAAAAATCCAACCAACCAACCAAACAAACAAAAAACCCCAACAAAACCTAAAAGCCAAACAATCAAATGAAAAAACAATCCAGGTGTCCCAAGTCTAATTTAGTACCCTCAGCTACTAGTCTCTAGGGGACAACTCTGTGCCTTCCCTATTATAAAGAATTCCATTTGGACACAGGGTCAATACAACTAAAAATTGAAGGAAAAAAAAGACCTAATAATAACTGTCTGCTGAAAAGTTCTTTCTGCAGCTCATTACCTGTTCTATGTTGCCACTGAAGACTCCATCAAGGATAAAGTATGTCCAGAACAGTGGCCATTCACATTCAATGTTTTCAAATAGCTTCAGCTCAGCTGGTTCATAGTAGAGACGGTTGGGATCCTAATAATAACACAATAAACAAGTGTGTCTTATTACTCAGAGTTTAGAAACGCATCTTTAGTTCAGAGGTATTACAATATGGTCTGTCACTACTGAGAGTTCATTTTAAACAAAGCAGTTGAGGAAGGTAGCACATGTATATACCTTCTTTCTTTAGCAAGTACTCTATGAGATGACTTCTATCTAGTGAACCTGGGAGAGTATATAAAGAAGTAAGATTGGTTTGTGATAATGATGAGTTTGGTTTTATACTTATTAAGTTTGAGGTAGTAGTAAGATGTACAAATAGAAATACTTAGAAGTCTGGCTAGAGATAAAGGTTTAGGAATCATCCTTATAGAGGTGACACATGAAGCTCAAGTTTGGAAAATGAGCCAACTGGCCACAAATGGAATCTTGGTAAATCCTCAGAATAGGGTGAAGGAAGGACAGAAAGAGAAGAATCAGGAAAGGGTAGTATTATGGAAATTAAAACAAGAAAATAATTTCAAGAAAATTGAGGGGTAAGTAACGTGATGTAATATAGAGAAGTCGAGGATTGGGAAAAGACAATGGAATTGGTCATTTCGGAGTTCATGATGATGTTTCAGAGCCTAATTTGAGTAGATTGGTAGGAACAGAAATCATATTTGGGGCTAAAGAGTAAAGTGGAAGACAGGAAGGAGACCAGAAGAATCTTAGCTTGATTTAAAAATTTCAATGCCTCTGGACCAGCTCACTTAAGCTTTTTAAACAATGTTTGCATTATTATCCTTTAACAATAACATTTAATTTCCCCATTGATATTTTCAAGGAGAACTTTTGCTTAGCAGAACAAAAGGAACTTAGCTTTTTAAAATCAGGTACTGTTTTAAACTAATCAACTGCAAAACTTGGAAGGTGGTGTTATACTTTGAAGTTGGCTTAAGCATGTGCCTCAAAGTTTCATGGGTTGAAATTTAATCTTCATTGTGAGCTGTTAAGGTAGTGGAAATTTAATCTAATTATAGTCGTTAGAGGTGGGGTCAGTGGGAAGGGATTAGGTTTCAATACAGTCATTAGGGTAGAGCCCCCAAGACTGAATTCTGGTGGCTTTATAAGAGGAAGAGAGACCCACATACACACCTGTGCTCCATGTCTCTTTCAATGTGGCAACCTGTACCACCTCGGGATGCTGCCAGCAAGAAGTTCACCACCAGATTTGGACCTTTGACCTTGTACGTCCGGAACCATGAGCCAAAATAAATACTGTAAGCCTCTTTTCTTTAAAACATACCCAGTCTCTGGTATTACATTATTGGCAAGAGAAAATGGACTATACCAGGGGCCCAGAGAGATGTACTGTACTGATGTATAATTCCCTTTGCAATTACTGAATTTTGGGAGGGGATACTTGAAGACTATAACAATTACTTTTTACATTGTTTTTGCTTAAACTTATATCCACTGATTTTACATTCACCAGTTGTTCTTTCCTGAAACTAACCAACTGCAAGAGATGGAAAGATCACTTTCTTTTTTTAAATTTAGCTCAGAAAAGTTCCAAAACAGACAACTTGTCAGTAAAGGCCAACCGATATAGCAAACATCAGTTATTGTTATCCTATTTAGTGATCTATATAAGTACCACTGGTAAGATATGTATTCTTTCTGAATGAGGATGTGGATAGGCATTAACATTGTAGCATGTGTTCATTTTGGGGAAAATAAATCTACCTCTTTAGGAGTTTTATATCCATCTCGTAGAAAACGACAGCAACCATAACGACCCTGGGAACACAGAAATAAATTATAATTAATCAGAAGTACATTCTTTGCAATATCTGTATGTACTAACCTTTCACTAATACAGACATGGTACTTAAAAACAATGGTGCATGCCTGTAATCCCAGCCTTGAGAGGCTGAGGCAGGAGGATGGCTGCAAGTTCAAGGCCAGCCTGGGCCATGTAGTGAGTTCAAGTCCAGTCTGAACTACAAATCAAAACTCTGTCTCAAAAAAAAAAATCAATTTCAAATGAAGGCTTAGATAGAGGCTCTTACTAAAGCAGCATTTCTGAAAGTATCTTCTCCATGGCTGTCCACTTTGGGGGAATTCTGTGACAGCCAAGTTAGCGATATATGTGGTCCTTCCTACAGTTCTTACAGATCATAAGAGACAACAGGAAAATACTTAAATTTTGGAATAATTTTAAATTTACAGAAGAGTTGTAAATATAGTAGAATCTCAACATACCTATCAACCACAATAATCATATATCAACGTCTTATATAATCATAGAATATTCATCAGAACTAAAACATTAACTTTGGTACAATACTGTTAACCAAAGTACATAACCTATCTGTGTTTCACCAGTTTTCCATCAGTGTTCTTGGTTCTGTTCCAAGCCACAATTTTGAATCCCACACTGCATTTAGTTGTCATGTCTCCTTAGTTATATAATTATATATATTATATAAATATATTTATTTATATATAACCATAATTTATACATAAATATAAATATAATATATTTACATATGACTCTAAATATATATTTATATATTTATATTTTATTTGTATCTATTATTTACACTTATATATAATTATATTGTATATTGTATAAGACAAACCATGCAGTATTTAACTTTCTGAATTTTACTTATTTCACTTAACATTCTAGTTTCAAGATCCATCCATTTTCCTGCAAATGGCATGATTTTGTTCTCCTTTTTGGCTGAATAATATTCCATTGTGCATATATACCACATTATTTTACCCATTCATTTGTTAATGGGCATCTAGGCTGTTTCCAGAGCTTAGCTATTGTGAATTGCACATCTATAAACATGGGTATACATGTATAAATCTATACGATTTCTTTAATTCTTTCAGGAATATAACCAGGAGAGTTATATTCTTTCAGGAATATAACTATTTAACCATAGTTAGGTCAAATGGAATTTCTACTCTTAGTTTTTTGATGAGTCTCCATATTGATTTCCATAGTGGTTGTGCCACTTTATATTCCCATCCACAATGTAGAAAGGTTCTTTTCCCCCCATCCTTGTCAGCATTTGTTGTTTTTTATTTTCTTGATGATAGTCATTCTGACTAGGAAAAGATGTGATCTCAGTTGTTTTGATTTACATTTCCTTAGTGGTTAAAGGTGATGAACATACGGGCAAGTTTCAATCTTCTGCATGTGGATAACCAGTTTTTCCAGTACCAATTGTTAAAGAGGCTATCTTCTTTCCTCTAATATATATTTTTGGCCCTTTTGTCAAAACTCAGACAGCTGAAGTTGCATGGAGTTGTATGTCTTACTTTCTATTTTGTCGGTCTATGTGCCTATTTCTGTGTCAGCATCATGCTGTTTTTGTTACTACAGCTTTGTAATACAGATATTCCTCATTTAACAACCCACCTGTTTAACAACTGTTTGGACTTACAGCCAAAGTGCACTGTTCAGATGTATAATCTGCATTCAGACAAGATGCAGGAACTTGAGCAGCAGTGTGGCCTTATATTGGCTTCTTCTACAGTCCAGTAATGTAATTTCTTCTGATTGTACTGTACAGTACAGTAGCTTTATATTCTGTTATACATTGCAGTTCTGCAAAGTTGGAGTTTCCTTTGGCCATTTCTTTGTTCTGAATATTGTAAGTATTGTATATACAATACTTCATTTAGCAACCAATTCATTTAACAACCTAATTGCAGGAACAGAATGTGATCATTAAACAAGAAGTGTCTGTATACCTTGAAATCAAAAAATTTGATGCCTCCTACTTTGCTGTTTTTCCTCAGGATTGTCTTGGCTGTTGGGGGCCTCTTCTGATTCTATATAAATTTTAGAATTGTTTTTTCTAGTTCTGCAAATAATGTTAGTATTTTAACAGGAATTGTATTAAAAGTATATGCCACTTTTGGTAACATGGCCATTTTAACAATTTTAATTCTGCCTATCTAGGAGCAGGGGATATCTTTTCCATTTCCAACATCCTTTTCAAAAATTTCTTTCTTCAGAGTTCTATAGTTTTCTTTATAAAGGTCTTGCACTTCCTTGGTTAGATTGATTCTTAGGTATTTATTTAAATTTTTTTTCTGTTAAGATTTTATGCCACTTTTGGTAACATGGCCATTTTAACAATTTTAATTCTGCCTATCTAGGAGCAGGGGATATCTTTTCCATTTCCAACATCCTTTTCAAAAATTTCTTTCTTCAGAGTTCTATAGTTTTCTTTATAAAGGTCTTGCACTTCCTTGGTTAGATTGATTCTTAGGTATTTATTTAAATTTTTTTTCTGTTAAGATTTTTAAAATTGCTACCACCTTCATCAAGAAATAAAATATTATTTGCTATTTTTACTTATTTATTTTTGTGCACTGGGGATCAAACCCAGGGCCTCACATATGCTAGGCCCTAGTATAAGTGCCCTACCACTCAACTACATTCCCAGTCCCTGTTAATGGTTTTAAGAAAAGAACAAATATTTGTTGATGTCTTTGAGGTTAAAATTATTAAATAATAACCCTTGGAAGTTTAAAAGTATTACTTACCTGATCTTTTACATGGTATGCTTTAAAGGTGCCAATTATCAGCTATCACTTTAACTGAGGCATGGAAAAACCATATTTTACATTTCCAGGAAGACTCCTTTTTCTCTTGAACTTTATAACTATACACCAGCTGGATACTCACTGTCTTTCCTTGAAATATTTATAGGTACCTCAAACTCAACATATTTCATGTAAACTACCTCTCTTCCTATGCTTCCTGTCTCAGTAAAGGATACCTCCCTGTATCTAGTTGTTATGCTAGATACCTGGCTAGCACCTGTGACTTTTTCCCCCTTTTTTATCAGCATGTTTGCAGTACATAATGTTTACATACTTTGTGTGGAGTTGGTGTATGTACATAGCTCTCTTACTTCCTTTTTTTATCCCCTTTTCCTCCCCTCCCACTATCTTTCCTCCTTCTCTTGATTCTTTTCCCATTTGAAAAAAGATCTCTCTCCCTATTTCCTATTATCTTTTGCTCTTTATTTTTTAGCTATCACGAATGGAACTGTTTTCTTAATTTCTTTTTGGATCACTTCACTGTTGGTTTTTCCTTTTTGTTTTTTCCAGAGACGGTTCTTTATCACTAATAATTTGCTTTTACTCTTTATTAGGATTCCTTATCTTACTTTTCTCTCCTCATCATATCCCATTGATTAGTTTTTCAAATTTTGTTTTTTTCATTCTCCAGTTTCCCACCCCCTTCACCTTCAGTAGTATAACTACTAAGCTTTATGAATCTCTAGATAAACAGTTAACTTTATGCTATTTCTGTTGAATACTGTGCTATTGTTACTAGAGATAAAGTTGTTCTATTTAGTAAATAATTACTGCCTGTCACTAGTAGTTCAATATTTGGTATGTCTTAAGGTTTATACTATAATTATTGATCTCTTTCTTATGGACAAGGATGGTACTTTTTTGGTCCTTAGGGTTTGTTGATATTCAGTTTATATTTAATGCTATAACTAATGCTGATTTTATTTCTATAGCCAAGTTGCTGTTAATTGGTTTTCTTGAGATGTCAATACCCAGATTGCCTAAGGGTCATTCACAATACTGTAGTCCATTCCAGGAGAAATGGGTACTGGGCCCAAACTGCTGCAACCTCCCACACCAAGAAAACAGAGCTGGTTGGATCCTGGGACACAGACCAAGGCCAGGAGTAAGCCATGCACAGAGGACAACACTGAAAAGTAGACATTAACTAAAGAGGTCTCCATACTAGAAACAGACATTTCTACTACAATATATCCATAAGCCTCAATACAAAACAAACAACAAAAATAGAAACATGAGAATACATGCTAACAAAGTACCTCCTCAAATTCCTAACCTCCCCCCACCCCCGAAGCTCATTCATAGAGCTTCAAAGGGGATGAAATAAAAAACCTTATGCCAAATTACTTGAAATGGCATCAGGGGAGACAACAAAATAGTTAAGTAAGGTAATTGTGACACTCATAGAGGATGTAAGTAATAAGATATTGGGCCAATTAAAATCATATGTGAATCTAACGAAGACACTAACAAAAAGAGTTAAACAAAATGATGTAAGACATACATGACCAGGACAGAAAAGGACAATAGTCCATAAATCGGTCCAAATACAAATTCGGGAGGTCTTGAAATGCAATGGGTAGAACTGACCAATATGAGAACAGACTAAGAACTAGAGTGACCAATTAATGAGGAATATCTTAAAAACAAGAGAACATGAAAAATGGATCAAATAACTTCTAGATGATACAAAGAAGACTAAGGTTAATTGGAATTAGTGGAAAATCAGAAGGTAACACAAATGGCATAAAAAACCTGTTTGCTGACATAATAGCTGAAAAATTTCCAAATAAGTTCAATATACAGATAATTGGGGCATACAGATCCCCAAATAGCCGTGATCAGAAAAGAACGTCCTCATGACACATCATAGACAAAATCTCAGAAGTCCAACACAAGAACAGAATCTTAAAAGCTGTTAGAAAAAGGAAATGAATCATCTATAAAGGAAAACCCATTAGAAGCCCGGCATGATAGTACATGCCTGTAATCCCAGCACTCTGAAGGCTGAGGCAGGTGGATTACCATAAATTTAAGGCCAGACTAGGATACATAGTTCAAGGCCAGCCTAAACTACATAATGAGACCTTGTCTCAAAAAACAGAACAAACAAACAAAAATGACAAAGCAAAAAAAAGAACCAATTTCAATCTCAGCAAAGTTCT